TATGAAATGAAGATCGCTGTCATTTTATATGTAAAATTATATGGAGTATGTATCGATGGTTTTTTCCAAGCCAACTGGACGCCGTTTTTTTCGATCATACGGTATTACAAATTAATAATAGATTAACAGTCGAGAAAAAAAAAGAAAAAACTCTAGGTAAGTACTGGATAAATTTTAAAATGGCATATTTATTTTATCTTTGTTTAATATAAAAAAAACGAAATATCTACCTGGTTTACATAACCCTGTATAATTTGTGAAATAATAATGGACAAAAATGCAAGCGGTAAGAAAAATATTTACAAAAAATATGTACTTGTTTACATTTCTGGACCATTGTTCGTCATTTTTGTTATCATAATGGTGACCCTATCATAAAAACGTAGTTATTTCTATACCTGATGTGAAACTATAGGGAAAAAGTAATGTTTGTAAAATATTTTAGTCTTGAAAAAAAATAAGGAATGTTTGGTATTTTAAAATGTTTGGTAGCTTGTAATTTTTTCGACTTTCTCGATTGTTTATAGTTTATAATAAGCCTTAAAAATTGTTGTTTCATAATGGAATATCATTCTGGAATTCCTGTATGTTATTTTAGATTCTAAGGATGGTTTTAGAATAAAAAGAAACACATTTTTCATAAAAAAAAGCATTAAATTAACCAATGCCCAAGAAAATAATGTGTCTACTTCTTATGTACTTAATAATGTATCTACTCGTTATATTAATAACGAGGTTAGTAAGAACCTTTACGTAAATGATAAATATAAAAAATACAGATTTTCCAGGGTTTATAATTTACTAAATTATTATCTAAATAAGCGCCTTTCTACAACGCCACTGACGCCAAAATAGTAAATTTGACTTACCTGTGGAATGTTGTTCCAGGACTTAAATAGTCCAATTTCTTACAAATTTGGCACTGACGAACCATGTTTTATAGTTTTTAAATAAAAGTAATCAAAATAAACACTAAACCGACACTACACACTAAGAAAATCGAATCCAAAAAAATACAAAATCAAAACATCCAATAAAAACAATAAAATAGCCATAGAGAAACTGTGACAACAAGGTTTTACGACACGTGCTTTACTCTACTATGGCTCTACTACGAGAGAATAAAGAATGAACAGGCGACCCGGCGATTGATGGGTGTTGCCAAATTGTAAAGAATTTGTCATTTTTAAATAGTCTCCGACTTATAATTTAGTAGTATAGGGACTATTTAATACATCTTTCTACTATTAAACACTACTTTATTAAAATACAGTTTTAATATCTCAATATATGTGTATAACAACAAAAAAAATATTAATAATATTTTAGACGTGACAACATAGGCTGGAGGCGAAAGACTCAGACGGCCGAGGTCAGCTGCACCCCGGAGTAAACATGTTTACAAAAATTAATATTGGACCGCGCTTAAATGTAAATAGTGTAGTCTATATTTTATTCTAAGTCTATGGTTGAAACCTTATTTTTAAAAATAAATTTACAGTATGAAATGTAATTTTGCTCTGGTTGCATTTGAAGTTTTTGAAGAATTTAATGAAAAAGTTGATAGTAGCCAACTTTGTTGTTTAAAAAGGAGATTTTATTTTGTTTCAAATGTTAATTTCCTGCAAATCACATCAAACTCTCTATATCTCAAATATTCCGAAACAAAAAATTAAATATAAAAAACTCTAAATAATTTTAATAATATAAATTATTGGTACATACAATTATAAAAAAAATTATAAAATAATATCAGAAAGTTGTCATACATATCGGGTGATTAGAGAGATATGTATGTAAGCCGGACTCAGACGGCTCATATATTTGACAAACATTTGTTATACTCTGTTTTTTTTTTCTCAGGTAAGATTTCGACAGACGATGACAGAAGAAAAGCAGATGACGTCCCATACCAATCTATTTATTTTACTATAAAAAGTTTCTAATAATTTTTAAGTTATCTATGGATGGGTTTAAATATAAATCCGTCATACGTCGTGTCTTGTTGTTTTTAACCAGTTTTATTCGTTTATTTAAAAAATGACAGATCGTATTTCAATTTTATTGGTTTGACGGAACGATGAACGACAAACGGACGCCGATGCGTATGAACTCGCCTTTAGATTTTTGTCATTTTTGACGCTTGTCAAAGTCTTGCCAAATTATAGGTTATAATTTTGTGTCAATTTTTGTTAAATACCCTGCGTTTCGGAAGATGGTGCATTTTGATTCGTATTATTACGTGTGTTTTGTGTCTTTTGAAGTCAAGTGGAGGAAAAATCGAGTGAAAATTATCTGTAGACCCAGAGCACAGTTTATGGTTAATACTCGCTGCCCAGGCAGAAAGTCTTAATACACCAATGAAGTTGCCATCGATAAAGTTTGTATACCATTTCGTCGTAGATAAGTGCATCTCGTATATGGTAGAAGGATCAAACTAAACACATACTAAAAACCGGAGTAGCTGTAAAATATCGACATCACACGATAGGTAAATAATGGATTTTAGTACTGCAGAAAAATAATGTCAAAAGGTACTGGTTTAAAAAAATTAAGATTAAAGTAAATTAATCAACCTTTAAGGTATAAAATTTGGTAGGTGTTATTATTAATAAAATAGTTTGTTTTATTTACCTATGTTGTTTTATTTATTCCTGTGGAATATTACAAATTTGTATTTGTACATATGTACATAAGTTATATTGATAAATAAAATCATAAATGCGGGTAGTTTCATAAAGCTTGAAAGTAAATAATAGTTCTTTTTTTATATTTCTTTGGTATGTAGTGTCTTGTTCTTGTTTGTTTTGTATTAACACATACAGTTTTTATTAAATAAAATAACTCGATTACATTTTTTCAGTTTTATACACTTTTTTTCACAATATTTTGAAGTAATCACTTGTCATCTTGTCAATCAAATTTTAAATATATCCTGCTATGCGTTCCAGTTGTACCAACTTATTTCTTTGTAAAATAAAATAAACTACTTTGAAATTAAAATGACAGACACATCTATCACTGTCAAGGATCTTCTCGTTGGACAGACTATACTGGCATATGTACATATACAGAGTTGTTCACCACATGCGACACGGAGTATTGTAGCTAAACGATTAGATTTTTACAAATTGTAAGTTTTGGGTTCGTTGAAGAACTGTTAGAGCTGCAATTTAAAAATATTTTTACAAGATACAGAGTGTCCCAAATAAATAAAAAATATCAAAGTTGTATTTTTTTAAATGGAACACCCTGTATATTATTACATTTTTAGTTTCTACGATTAAAATAAAGGTAAATTTGATTAAGGTTTATCACCCATAAACTTTACCGTTTTTGAAATATTTTCAATTTTGTGAAATTGCAGTAAAAATTTTAAGGCTTCACTTCTCCAAGGGTATCAAAGTTTTTAATACTAAATATTTACTGAAGTTTAATTATTGATCAGTTATTGTGTTGCAATAATAAAAATAATACTACATCATACAGAGTGTCTAAAAATTTATTTTAATTAATTTCTAGCTTTAAACGGCAATAACTTGTTTAATTTAAATGGAACACCCTACATATTTTAGGAGAATCAGATGCACAATTTAATTGTCCATCAAATTGTATCATATTATTTTTTACTTATCCCTTCAAGTTTTCGTAGAAAATGCATTTTCTTATAATTTAGACCACATCTACCCATGGAATATTGACATTTTAGATTGATTTTAAAGCAACAAATGGACAAAATGTACAGGTGCTAAAAACGATAATATTACCAGCCTGTTTGTATACAAAAATAAAACTATTTGAATCTTTAAAATTTAAAATTATTCTAAATAAATGTGGATTTCGAATCAGAAATCAATATAATACTAAGTTATGAAAATGAACGTCAAAAAATGAAATAAAATTTTTAAGGTATTACTTTTTACCACACTGTCTAATACACATACAAAATTGAGTTTTTTAGTATTTGGAGCAATTATTATTAATCAACGCAAACAGTCAATTAATGTAGTTTGAATACCGGAATCATATTAAATTGGTCCTCTTTTACAAATATTTAAACATTTTTTTTAATGACATAAACGAACTATACCGACAATATTAGTATTTGTACCCTTTAAACATTTTTTACATCTTTAAAAATAATCTAAAATGTCAATATTCCATGGGTATATTGATAATTGAGGTCTAAATTATAAGAAAATGCAAGATTAAAATGCGGTAAACCTTAATCAAATTTACCTTTATTTTAATCGTAGAGACTAAAAATGTAATAATATACAGGGTGTTCCATTTAAAAAATACAACTTTGATATTTTTTATTTATTTGGGACACTCTGTATCTTGTAAAAATAGTTTTCAATTGTAGCTCTAATAGTCATCCAACGACCCCAAAACTTACAATTTGCAAAAATCTAATAGTTTAGCTACAATACTCCGCGTCGTATGTGGTAAACAACCCTGTATAATATGAAACTTGCTTAGAATAAATACCCGAAATATATAATAAATGCTCGAAATGACAGAGTTGGCTTGGAAATGAAGACCGCTGTTATTTCATATGTAAAATATTATGGTAAATGTCTAATCTTCAATTCTAATTCAACTAAACGACTTTTTCCGATCATACGGCATATTCAGTATCTATAAAATAATTTTTATTTTTGTTGTTTATTCTATATTTAACACGAATCAATTTTCAAAACATAAACGCGGATTTTTCATCCAAAGATATTTTCGTCAAACGTATTACAGATATTACACATTTTAATATGGCAACACTGTCGCTTTCAGTTCCACACCGGCTTCGATATGCCTTCGCTGGCCGAGAAAATAAGTGTTTTATGCGTTGGCCGCAGAAAGATTGGTGTCTACACCGTACAGCACTTGAGACGTAAGGGAAAATCAAATCAACCATGTAGCAAATTCAGCCATTAGGTTGTGTATTTTCCCAATTCTTTCAATCAACGGTAAAAGTAAATAATTAATCAACATTTGCTTACCCTTTGGAGTCTCTAACTTTCCACCAGTGTTCTTGGCTATCGTCTATCACTTCGTACTCCTGGTTTTTGTCCAGACTCAAATCTCCGGTTTCGATGGCCTTGTAATTGTACAAGGCTACCACGACCTTGGTCCTCGGAGTGGACTGTTTGTCCTTCTGCTTAGAAGAAGGCGTACCTGGTGTTCCGCCACCGGGCATGATGGGACTCGATTGTGTACCTAAAACAAACAAAAAGAGATAAATTAAAATAATATGCCAATAGAAAATGGAATCATAAACACGAAATTCACACTAACCCAGGAACAAACAAGGGAAGGTTATTCAATCGTACGTAAAGCCACGCCTACACATAATATGTGTACAGACAAAACGTAACAAGTAAAACATTCTGTGACTGAAAAGCCCGATACGTGTGATGTTATCTGTCTACCGTACTCCAGACATTCAAAAATCTCATTGCTTTGTTGCCCCTTTACTTTTTGGTTGTCACTCTTTAAAACATCATAGTTGCCAGGATAAAACAAAAATATTTATTAATAATCATTAACAAGTAGTTTACTAATTAGTTACAATTATTATTATTAGTTTACCTAATTAACTTAACCCAACTAAATTAGAATTACAGTCCTGAAGTTCTTGGTGTATTTCTATATTATAAAAGATGACACTTTGATTCTCCCTTGGAGCGAATAGCCATAGATTAGAGTAATACTAGATTACCTAGTTGTTGACAACTACTGATATAGGAATTTTCTTCGACATAAAATAAAGTTTTTTCTCGTAGGAATTCTGGTTTATATTTCATTTCGTAAAGCCAATATTACTACTGCCACGAAACCGTTCCATTACAAACTTATAATTTTTCCAGATAATCTACATCTATTCTTATAATATGTACACTACCTACACTTATAACAACAAATTAAACTAAAATTCCAGTTTTGTTCTTAACTTGCTTAACAGACATATCAAATTTTGGATAATTATTACTTTTTGTCACATGACTATGATTATATAGCGTAATTGTATTAAAAATATGGGTAAAAATTAAAAATAGAAAAAATTCAAATAAAACGCAAACTATTAAAAATAGGTATATGACATACTTAATAAGAGTGGAAGAGTTTTGTAAAATCTATCAGAAAAAATGATAATTTATTGGGTGTACCATTTAAAAAATTTGAAATTTCTTAATTTTAAGTAGTTGAAATTCAAAAATATATTTTGAACACCTTATACCATCTAACTAAAATATCTTTACATACGTTTTTTTCTATATCTTTATAAAATTCTCCTACCAAATTTTAGTTGTCCAACTTCAGAAACAATAGCATCACTGACAATTTTTTACTACACTGCAATCTAACATTTGTTTAAAAAATTTAAATATTGCAAAAACTATTTATTTTAGGTATGTAATATTGTATATAAAAAAGTTATGGAATTTTACGCAGAATCTAAAAATAAAATAAAAAATAGGGTGTTGCATGTAAAAAAACATATGTTATATTCCCCACAGTTTTTTGAAGCACCCTGTATACTCTATAATAATTTTAAAATGTGTATCTTAACCGTCCCTATAACTTTTATATTAAATATTTTTTGTATACCTCGAAACAAATGAGATAATGGACTTTATCGTTGACTCACTCTGTACATCAACGCATAGTCAATATTATGAAGATTATGCAAAGAGTTCAACATGTCATTGCCTAATGGTAGGAATACATGAAGTGTTAGTCGTCTATTATTAAGCCAAAGACATTTTTGAGATACAAATAGATAAGTGGTAGGTACCCTCGGTATAACCTATTATCCTTGTTAAGAATATATAAACAAGGCTATTATATAGTCGGCAATAAAGAGTCTTGGGTCAATATTTACATGTCTAGGCCTGAATCGCTATATTTGTTACATAACCACTTAAGCCGGCGCTTTATTTCATTCGCTTGTGAGAAAACTTGCTATTATCTCTCTTTAGGTACTCTTCACACATACGTAATCGGCACCTAAAACCAGGCGTTGCCGACCGTGTATAAGAAATACTTTAATAAAATTATATAAGGGTCCTTGCCACTTAACTGCTTATATAGAAATTTAATTCTACGCTGTGTTTGTCATAATGTGGATCAACCTGCTCTCACTACCGGTTTCGGAGCCTTACTCCATCATCAGGTGAGCTTGGGCAGATCCACAAAATGACAACCACAGCGCAGAGATAGTTAATTCCGACTTGTCGGAAAGTGTCGGTTAGATATTAAGTCCCGCGAACGGAAGATAGCGGCCTGCGTGCAATGGTAGTACCAGGTGGATGACACTTCTTATGGGAGAACTGACAATGGTTCGAAACTTGACTACCAGCGATTTTCTAGGAATCTTCCTTACCGATAAATTATTGACAAGAGTGACAGATAAAACCTTGACGTTCTTTCAGTATTACCGTTCAACTCTTTTTCTTTCTAAAGTGTGCGTTGAAAGGAGACAAAAACAATTTTTCGTGACCCTCAAATACGTTTAAAATACCTATATTGCGGCCTCCCCATAAGAGCAATGAGAGAATTTATGTCCCATTATTGAAGGAGGACAGAAAATCGAGTCGAATGGTTTCAAGACATAGGTTCATCCTTGTTTAGTCAAACCTCCTACCACACAAGTATGGAGTGTAGAGGTAAGGAGAAACAACTCTTACGGGACTTTTATTGAAAAAGTGGTCACAAAATGGGAAGAATAAGGGTTCGCCAAATAACCACAGTGGCGCTAAAAACGCATGATTCTAAAAAATGAAAAGTAACCATAGATAAGAGAATAAAAATAAATATAACCAAACATTACCCAAAAAATTTTGTTTTTTATTTTTCAGACAGAGTTTTTTGAATATAAAATAATTATTGTTTATCAATATTTTGTGCTTTATTTATTATTTAACAATGGTTAAAGTGTGTGTGTGGTGCGAAGTTGATTGAATAGCTGATGGAAAAATAAAGAGCAAAGGCAAAGCCTACGGTATGTAAAATACATAATATAATTCAGTATTGTATTATTTGTATTATATGTAAAAATTAGAGTCAATCAAAAAAGTGTAGTAAACATTTTTCGTAAGATTATTGACATACATGTTACAAAGTATATTTTTACAATCCTTTTTATAAAGTTACAACCTAAATAAAATTTATTTTTAATGATTTTAAAAGTTTGACAGATATGTACAAATTGTTGGCATTTTTTAAACAAGTAAAAGTAGGAAATACATAAAATTGTAGGTACTTTCAAGAAATATAGTTAACTGTAAGTGCTGTATTTTAATAATCTATCAAAAATCAAAATCATCAGGATAATATTAGGTATTGATTTTCAGACAAGAATTAGATTACAGTGATGGTCAAAAACATTTAGATATTGCTTTGAAATCTACAGATAAGGTATGACAGTTTCATTTTAAAGAACAAGATGTTAAAGTTTGTGATAAAATTGTCATCAGAAATACTGTCCACTTCAGTATTTACATAGGGAAAATATTGGAGGATGAAGCTCTACCTACTGCCTCAGGTTAATTTAAATTCTGAATTGCAACAACAGCAACAAGCAAGAAGGGCACCATTAAATGAATATTATACACATAAGTACCGTATGATCGAATAAAAACGGCGTCCAGTTGGCTTGGAAATGACGATCGATGGCATTTCCTATATAAATTTACATATAAAATGACAGCGATCTTCATTTCATAGCCATCGCTGACGCCGTTTTTATTCGATCATACGGTATTATTATACACAGAAAGAGTAATGTTATACACATAAATATTAACATTTTGTAGAGCAACAACACAATAAAAAACCAAAATATGAACACCAGCAACTAAAACAGGAACCATTAAATGAATATTACACACGTAAGTACAATTTGATCGATCGAATAAAAAACGGCGTCAGCGATGCCTATGAAATGAAGATTGCTGTCATTTTATATGTAAAATGATATGGAGAATGTCATCGAGATGTTCATTTCCAAGCCCACTGGACGCCGTGTTTTTTCGATCATACAGTATTATTATACACATAAATAATAATATTATACACATAAACATCCCTTGATAAAGATCAACATTTTGTAGAGCAATAACAGCATCAAATAATGGAAATAATGGACCCTACTGCTCAAATCAAAAACAAAATTTCATCATTACCACTTTATTGGTTATATCAATAAAAGAAATTATTGAGTTTATGAGTCTAGATCCTACAAGCAAGCAGATCTATCACATAATTTAAAATGAAGATTTATCTATTATAGTATGTATAAACACTTTGCATCTTTTATTCAATGTTGTAATGAATTAACAAATTGCAGGTAATTTATTCTAATAATGAAAAAGAAACTTTGGATCAAAAAATATTTTCTTCTGATGAGGCTTATGAATATTAAAGTCTGTTGAAGTTTGGCCATTATGTGTTGGTATACAATTTATTTATGATGTTACAGTAGTTAAACCATCCGAATACAAAACATATTTAAAATCCACTATTCTTAATGAACCAACTTGAGAGGAAGCTAAGAGAAAGGTTCTATTGGGTGGACTACAAGAAAAAGGGACATATACATGAGGATCTGGAAGGGCTATAACATTACGTCTCAAGCCATGGAACAATAGGAAACGAAATTCAAAGGAAAATATTACAATACGTGGGATGCAAATTATAGTGCAAAGAATTGAGAAAAAGAATTATTAAAAGTAGTTATAGTTATGATAGTTAAACCATCCGACTACCAAATATATTTAAAATCCACTATTCTGAATGAATAGCAACTACCAACTTGGAAGGAAGCTGCGAGACGATTCTATTGGGTGAACTACAAAGGAAGACATGAGCATCTGGAAGGGCTATAAAATTATATTATTATTTCACGTCCCAAGCCATGTTGGAATAGCTGGGAGTGAAAAAGAAGATAATACTGCACACGATTCTTGTCTAGAAGTAGTTGATATTAAGGTAGTTAAGCCATCCGACTATCGAACATTTAAAATCCACTATTTTGAATGAATGGCAACTACGATGGAGCAAAACGTAAATAAATACTTGTACAGTATAAAATTATATTATATTGGCTTAATTTTTATACTACAGAAAATGTGTTACGTTATTTTTGACCTGCATTATATTTATTTAAATCCCATATCATCAATTAAACTTTTAATAAAGTTTTTCTAATTATAATTAACATTAATTTTAAACTAAAGCTTTTTCATCTTGAATGAGATTTACGAAATAACTTATGAGAAACAATAAAAAGAGGCTCTGATATCTGAATAATCAATAATAAAACCACATATTGACTTACTTTTATACTAAATAAATGTAGATATGAAGTTATTTTAAAGCTGCATTATATTTATTTTAAACCCATCACCAATCATTACTTTAAATAAAATTTGTCTTAATTATAATTACCATTAATTTTAAGCTAAAACGATAAGAATATTTTTTCGTCGTCTTGAATGACATTTGCGAAATAAGTTATGAGAAACAATAAAAAAGGGCCTAGTGTATTGCTGCTGAATAAAAATCTGTAATTTATTTCATGCAACATGAAAATAAAATTTATTTTTTTAAACCCGCGGCTTCGCGTTTGCTTCACGTCAAATATTTATGTCTTGAATCATCTGTTCTAAAATGTTCGGCGCATGTCTTAAATTTTAGAATCTTGCTACAGCAGCGCCATCCTAATTCTTCCCTTTTTTTGACCATTTTTTAATGCACGGAGTTATTTCTCCTTACCTCTACACTCCATACACACAAGGATAGACTTATGTAGGAAATGCATTGAAATTCTATAGCCATCCTTTAACATCGGGACAGGAATTTAAGCGGTACCCTCCGTATAGGTAATTTAAACGTATTTGGTGACCCTTAATTTGTTATTCGAACACCACTTTTCTCTTAGACAAGGAAAGAGAGACTTTTCCTTACGTTGACAAGGCCATTTTATTTGTTTTGTTTACACGCTGCAGTTTGCTTTGCAAATTTAATACATAAATTATTTAGGCAAATATAGGTTCTTGATAAAACTCCTCGGACTAACGGGTAGGTAAGTGTTGATAAATAATTTTTTTTCATCTTAACATGCTCATTGTCATTCTCCTGATTTAGGTGACAGAAAAGGATCATCAACTCTGTTATCAAATCAAATTGAATTTTATATTTTTTCATCCCAAGACCGATAGTAAAATATATATTTTATGGATACTTCTAAATATCAACGAGATGAGCCATCGGAAGAAAGGGACCATAGTACAAAACAGAAAGGTGATCTTTTTTCTTTCCACTTAGGATATTGAAATTATTATATACCGTAGTCGTGTTCGGCATTATGCTCTGAGAAATATAGATAAACAAAGAACAACAGATATAAAGCATCCCAGAGGAAAAGAGAGGCAATACCTGTATTCTCTCTGATATTTGTGAAAGTTACGGCAAAGTATTGTTGTAAATGTCATCATTTTGATCAACCTGAAAATTTCGAGCAAACAGATGACACTTTCAACAATACCCTGACAGATATCACAGACGATACAGGTTTTTCCTGTCTTTTCCCCTGGAATACTTTTAATTTATTATTTTTTGTTTATCTAGATTTCTCAGAGCACTATGAACGAACTCAGCTTGTATGTTTGAAATAATCATCCAGTTGGCTTAAAATGATGATCGATGACATTTCCCATATAATTTTACTTTCAAAATTATGATATATATCTTCATTTCTAAGCCATCCATGACGCCATTTTTTTCAGTTTTGTTATAATTAATTTTGTCTCTTGATCTACGTGTAACATTATTCTTTTAATTTTATTAATTTATTGTGGTGAAATTAATTTCTGTTGTATATTTGATATTATTGTATTTATAAAATTATTGTATTATTAAACATATTTTTAAAAAACGGTGTATTTTTTGTGTTTTTACGTATGTCATAATTAAAAATAAATGAAGAATTAAAATTTTTTATTTTTTTAAACTTCCCGCCATGCGTGACAATCTAGTCCGTAGTTCCTACAAGCGATATTGGGGGCGCTAGTAGCAGTAGACTTGTCAACAGTGTCAAATTTGAACGTCAATTCCACTTCCCAATATTTAGCAAGGCGCTAGCACTTCTTCTTGTGTATATGTTTTGTGGGTAGTACTTTCGTACCACCGGGGCGCAACTATCGATAGTAAAAGGATGATTATGAAATACTTTATTTAATGGTTAGAAATACTTTATAGATATAGTAATCGCAAAACATTTGATATTGACATTGACACTAAAGTCTAAAAAACCTGACTAGATTAAATTTTGACAAAAATGTTTAAATTTGTTGTATAATTTAAGATACCGAGCAGCTCTTCATTTTACTTTATAGAGCAAATGATTGTAATAGATATTATATTTAGATTAAAGCTGCAAAAATTAGTTTAAACCGAATTTTATTATAACATTGTTGGTCACATTGCGCCGTGTTCGTGTTGTCTTTTATTATTTGACAATTATCCTAGTGTCAGTCATTATTTTGTACAATATCGTGTTGTTGTTGAATCTTTGTGAGTAAATCTCGATTTTTTGCCTATTTTAATAGTATTTTTCTAAAAATTGCACTTTTAAGCACAAACAGTTCTGTTAAGAACTAAATTTTCGAGTTTTTGTATTGAATTTCTTGAAATTGTGTGTTGAAAAGATGCCGAAGCATTTAAACAGTCGACGCCAAGAGCTTGTAGCTTCCCTGATAAACTATTGTAAACAAGAACGTGACAATACAGGTCCTTTACTACCCTTGACTGCAGTCAGTGAAGTAAGTTTGATTGATAAGCTCATTATACCACTTTCAAAGATAGTTTTTATTAAATTCTGTGATTATTAGTTGTATGTTTGTACATTAATAGCACCCTCTTACTTGTTATTACCACTTATGGCGTTGTAAGATGTACATCAATAAATAAATAACCCATAATAAGGCTTATAATAATCTTCATAATGGACTAGTTTTTGCCTATATGTATTAAGTAAAATAAGCTATAAAACAATTAAATCAATTAATCACTAAAATATTAGTTATTAAATTAAAAATAAAACGTAAACTCTTTAAAAAATGATATACTAAATATTGTTTGTCAATTTTAAATTAAAATTCATCTCATAAATCCATCACAATCTGGCAGCGCTGTCGCCATCGCTTGTCACTCAAAGTTGATCACGTGCATCGGAAATGGTTTTGCGATTACCATAGGTGTGTATTTTAATTACAGAAGAAAAGAACACGACCTATCCTAAGCCTTTTTTTATTAATTCAATTATCAAAGAAATATTTGTGTATATTCCATTAGGTTTCATAAAAATGCTCGTTCCTGCATTAATTATATAAATGTATCTTTCACCTTTCAAAATATCTGAAAGTAGTAAAGCCATGAAAGCAGTCAGCTCATAGAGGATATGTATCAATAATGCTTCAATAATTCGTTAAATTGAATCCATTTTACTATTAATTTTATCCTTTCATTTTGATCGTCCGTCGTATGGTGTAAAATTAGCATATACAGTAATATACACATGTCTATACGACTTAAGATAGAAACAGGAACGTCTAAAGAAACATATTATTAGAAATGTTCTTAGTATTCAAGGAAAACCTGTTTTTGCTGATAAATTGCTAAATACTTTTTAACGATCGGAAAGATATTATACTAAAAATTGTCATAATTATACCTACATTTTTTTAATACTGATGGAGCTTAATATACAGGGTGTCCCAAGCTGAGCGTGCATTAGAAGTTTCTAGCAAACTACAATATCTAGATCAGAGATTTCTCGCACATCTTTGTTTCACAACGATATCTATCGATTTAAAATATTTTCAAAATGGCGGCTCTTCCGGAAGTTGACAGCAACTTTCATATTTTAAACGGGTACCCCCATTTTTTATTACACACTTAAATTCTCTATAAAAATTTATGTGATTGCACCGACTTGCACATCGAAGCTTTATCAGAGAAACTAAGCGCTGCCTGTTTTGGGCTAAGATCAGTTTCTAAGGAACTTAACTTATCAACTTCTAAAATGGTCTATTATGCCCTTTTTGAGTCGCATCTTCGTTATGCCCTTCCATTCTGGGGTACTTCTGCGCGACAAGGTTTGATCGTATTTTCAAACTTCAAGCAGTTCGATATTTATTGGGACTGAACAGTAGAACTCACTGCCAGAATTTCTTTAAAAATTTTAAAATACTGACTCTTCCTTCTTTCTTATTCATTATATTAATCCGCAAGCACATATCTGCTATTCCGGTAAGGCCATCTCACAACTATCCACTTAGGAATGCGGAGCACGATCTTTATCTG